CCTTTGTCGCCCAGGCTAGAGTACAGTGGTGTGACCTTGGCTCACTGCAACCTCCGCTTCCCGGGTTCAAGTGGTTCTCCTGCCTCAGCCTCCCGAGTAGCTAGGATTACAGGTGCCCACTACCACACCTGGCTAATTTTTTAACTTTTAGTAGAGATGGGGTTTCACTTTGTGGGCCAGGCTAGTCTTGAACTCCTGACTGCAGGTGATCCACCCGCCTCAGCCTCCCAAAGTGTTGGGATTGTATGCATGAGCCACTGTGCCCAGACGGTTTTATTTGAATTTAACCTGTTTGGGTTTCATTGAGCGTTTGATAATTTTCCCATAAGTCCCTGAAATCTTCATCCTTTTTCCTGTCATTCAGATTATATAATCTTTATTAATCAGTCTTCAAATTCACTGACCCTTCCATGTGAGCACCATTCTGTTATGAGCCCATCTAGTGCCTGTTTTATTTTAATCTCAGATTTCATATTGTTTAGTTTTAAATTTTCTAATTTTTTTAAAAAATAGTTTTTCTGTGCTGTGCACTTTCATCTTTCCATTATTTGAAGTATTAAAGGGCTTTACTGGCCGGGCGTGGTGGCTCACGCCTGTAATTCCAACACTTTGGGAGGCCGAGGCGGGCGGATCACAAGGTCAAGAGATCAAAACCATCCTGGCCAACATGATGAAACTCTGTCTCTACTAAAACTTCAAAAAAAAAATTCAAAAAAAATTCAAAAAAAAAAAGGGGGGCTTTACCTCATGGAGTATAGTTATAAGAGCTGCTTTGACATTTCTTTCTGCCAGTTCCAACGTCTGCTTCATCCTGGAGCTGACCTCTATTGATTGGCCTTTTCTTTGAAAATTGATTGTATTTCCTGGTTCTTTGTAGGCAGAATAATCTTTTATTGTTTCCTTGACATTCTATTTATCTATTTAGAGACAGGGCTCTGTTGCCTAGGCTGGAGTGCAGTGGTGCAATCACAGCTCACTACAGCCTCAACCTTCTGGGCTAAAGTGATCCTCCTACTTCAGCCTCCCGAGTTGCTGAGACTACAAGTGCACTGTCACCACACCCAGTTCGTTTTTTGTATTTATATCGTCTGTGGAGACGGAGTTTTATCATGTTGACCAGGTTAGTCTTGAACTCCTGAGCTCAAGTGATCCACCTGCCTCAGCCTCCCAAAGTGCCGGGATTACAGGTGTAAGCCACCATGCCTGGCTATCCTTGACATTTTAATGTTCTGTTCTGTAGACTGTGGGTCTGTTTTATAATCTTTTGGAGAATGTAGGTGTTTTTTGTTTAGCAGGCAACCCTGTAGACCGCAGGCTCTGTGTGATATTCCGTGGGTAGTGGTTCTAATCTTAGTTTAGTTGGGTCTTTGCTTTTTTGATTTTTTGCTATACTGCTTGGCACCTGTCTCACTCATGCTCAGCTCAGGGTTGAATCTCTGTGTTGACACATAGAATTAGGAATTTCCCTTTTCCTGTGCTCTTCTCTTTCCTTCCTTCCTTCCTTTTTTTTTTCAGCAGAGTCTTGCTCTGTCTCCTAAGCTGAAATGCAATGGTGCAATCTTGGCTCACTGCAACCTCCAGCTCCTGAGTTCAAGCGATTCTCATGCCTCCTTCCCAAGGAGCTGGGACTACAGGCACGTGCCACCATGCCCAGCTAAGTTTTGCATTTTTAGAGAGACGAGGTTTCACCAGGTTGCCCAAGCTCTTCTTGAACTCCTGATCTCAGGTGATCTACCTGCTCAGCCTCCCAAAGTGCTGGGATTATAGGCATGAGCCACCAGTCATGCATTCTCAGCAGGGTGTGGTGGCTTACATCTGCCCTTCTGTGCCCTTCCCTTTGGGATTCACTACACTGCACAAGCCTCTTTTCCTGGTACTCTGGCCAGAAACACAAGGTTTCTTACGAGCTTTAGCCAGCGTTTCTACTGCACCAGCGGGCAGGTCTGGGCTTGGTGCAAAGTCAGGAGAGCAAAGGGTGATGAAAAATAGGAAACTTCTCCCCTGTACCAGCCTCGTCTGCAAGTCTTGACTCCACTTCATGTCACCTGCTTTTGTTTGGTTTTCAGCGTCCTCAAGTAGTTGCTTTTGCATTTGATGCAGAGTTTTCACTATAATCATCAGGAGACATTGCCTGTGTTGGCTAATCCCACCATGCCAGAACTCCCCAGAATGCTCTTTTGTTTTGATCATGGGTAGTCTTTTCCCCCCACCAGATGCTTCTAAGAGCCCTCTGTCAGTGCAGGTTTTGGGTTATTGGACACCGTGAAGGTGTGGGTTTCTCAGGAAAGAACAGTCTGAGGAACTCCAGGGTCCGTAGAGAGAGGTATCATGGAGCCTGTCTCCCTCCTGTTACAAAAGACAGAAACTCAACCCCAGCTGGCTTAAGGAGGAAAGAACACTTGCTGGCGTCTGACCAGGAGGGCAGAAGTGTTGCCAGGAATTCTTCTTTCTCATCTCTTGGCATTGCTTCCCTGCATTGAGTTCATCTCAGGCAGTCCCCTCCAGGGGATGACAAGGTGACTCACCTTGGCCTTCATTTCCCCAATTTAACAGCTCCAGAGGACAGCAGGTAGCTTTTCTTCAGTAGTTCCAGCAAACATCCTGAAGTGGGCACTGGACCAGTGACGGTCACGTGCTTGTCTCTGAATCGGTCCCAGAGGCTAAGGGCATGGAATGTGCTACTTGGCCAGCCTGGGTCAGATGCTCAGCCGCCCAGGGCTGGGGGTGGGGTGGGTGTCAGCCCACCTGGACTTCAGAGACTGACAAGGAGGATCCTAAAGTATGCTTTCTGGGCCAGAGGCGGTGGCTTACACCTATAATTCCTGCAGTTTGGGAGGCTGAGGCAGGCAGATCACTTGAGATCAGGAGTTCCAGACCAGCCTGACCAACATGGTGAAACTCCATCTCTACCAAAAATATAAAAATAGCCGGGTGTGGTGGTGCACACTTGTAATCCCAGCTATAGGAGGGTGAGGTAGGAGAACTGCTTGGCTCCATCTCAAAAAAA